GAGCGGAAAAATGAACCATCTGTACTGATTTTTGGGAGCGAGTCAGTAGCTGCGGGCCATCAAGTGGATGTGCTGAACACTTTATGTCTCTCTCCAAAGGACAAACTCATGACTGCCTTCGCCACAAGGGCTCACTGGAAACAATTAGCAAATAAATAAATAAATAAATAAATGACTAAACAAAAACAAATGCTGTGGCCCTGTTGCATTCCATACACTTGTAAATTCTGTATTGGTTTTCCTTCAAGTTTCTGTTATGGTCCCAAATTGTGAATGGGGTTGTGTGTGTTTCGTCCCAGCCAGCTGTCCTTTTAATTCACATTAATACAGCACACTGGAGTTTGTATTGCATCAGTAAACGCTGCCAATGAGGACGATGTGTCCGTCCCATAAAGGAAAATCGCAAGGGTTTGGAAATGCAGAGCTTCGTATAGAAAACAAAAGTTGAGAATAGGGATGGTAATCGGAAAGAAATTAATAGTCTCAGTTAATTATATTAATGATTAATTTCAACTGTCAAATTGTGAGATAATTATTTTTTTTTTCAATTAAATTCATAAAAGGTGCGTTTATACAGAGGATTCACAGTCTCTTTAGATGTGGCATAAATACAAGCCAATTACAGGCCTTAACTATATACTAAACAATACTAAAACAAAAATGTGGTAAAATATTTTTTTTACTTATTCTTAATAAAATATTTCTCATGATGTCCGCATTTAACTACCCATTGTCATAATTTCTGCTAAACCAGTCAGCAAGTATGGATTTAAGGGTGTACTCACACTAGGCGATCTGAACTGTGACCGACCGTGTTTGACCCCCAAAGTCTGGTTCGTTTGACTGATGTGATCGCTCCATACGCTTAGCCGACCCTGGCCTGCTTGGAAGAGGTGGGCCAGGGCACAGTTCGATTGGGCTCGGGCATGTTACGCATGTAGTCTGATCGTTAACCGCGCCGGAGCACGGAACAGCTGTGCACCACTGTCATAATTACGACAGCAAACACCCGTATCTAATCTGCTGTATTTCGGCTTTATTTCACATCTTTCCATTACCCTAAAATCCCTCTTACGCTTATACAATAAAATTACACAATCCGTCCATCATTGTTTTCTCTAGTGCCCATAATCAGGAAGAGCAATCACACGGTGGTTTCAAGAATACTTCTGGTCTAACTTCCCATGTATGTGGACATCAGGGACAGTGTGAATTAGATAGGAGGAGACAGACAGGAAGAAAAAAGTGAAAGTGGAGAAACCACAAGCTGTACTTAGTCACTGACAGGGGTGATGACCTCTAGGTCACGCTGGCTAGTCCTGACCCTGTCGTATACTCAGTCAGCTGGAAAACTAGCCACAAACAGCTCCTCTACAGAGCACACACACACACTGCTAATAAAGGCCCAATAGGGAACTCAGTGTGTGTGTGTGTGTGTTGGGGGTTTTGGCAAGTTGAGAGAGGGAGTTTGATGAATGACCAGCTCTTCTGAAGGAGCTGGCAACCGCTCCGCTGACCCAGACATCCAGAGGTCATGAGTCAGCTGGGGGTCCAGGTGCCCCCCGAAACGACACCCTGGCCTGCCCCCACGCGCCACAGGTCGCCACCTTGTTTTCAAAGATTTGTTGTGCTCAATTAAACTTCACATGACACCTTCCACATCTTTGGTGAGGTCTTGACACGGGGGCAAAAGCTAAGTCCTGCAGTCGTAAAACAGACCTCTTTAACATGCTAGAACAAATGAGAAATAATCCATCCAACACCAGAAAAGCGACCAATAAAACACTGTCTACTTCACAGGGAACCAAAATAAACTAGGGAGTTTGGGCAGGAAATCGCAACACCTTCAAACTGTAACTGATATGTTGAGCTCTTGCGATTGTGTAACACCTTCTAGTTGTTGAGTAACGCTGGCTGTTCCTGCACAAAACATGACAGTTTCTTGTTGGTGTTTGACGACTTAGGTAAAATTGTCTTATTAATTGGTAATTCGTTTTCTTTAGCTTTACAAAAGGCCAGCTAGATATTTGAAACAAACCAACTGCCAGATAAATGTAAATATTTATGAAAGGCTTGAACCGGCACTTAATTTACACTAGCATTTTTGAGGTTTTGTGTTTATTTGAAAAATTATGTCATGTGTTTAGGATAATGTAAACCCTGAGATAAAGGTTGTGAACATATTCCAGAATGTGCTGGAAAATAAATATCTTGGGTTAAAATGAAAAATGCCTTTTTGATATAAACCGGCTGGTCCCTTTTCAAATCTATTTCTGCTTAGTCACTGTTCTAGTATAAAAAGCCTATACCAACATTTTCCCTCACAGTATACAATGCAGCAGACACACAAAAAAACAAAGGTACATTAATGAAACATGTCATCAACCATACAATACAAATTATTAGCATACTTCCCTTGACTGAAAGAGGACGTGGCAATTGAGTCATGATTTATGAGTTCTGAAGTGAAATGAGCATCACTTCACATGTACAGACTTGACTTACATGTACAAGACCAATGTGGAATCAGAAAGTTGCAACAGCTTTAACAGTCCGAGCAACTTTAGCTGAAAAAGTTTCAAAGCATGGATAATTACAGCTAATTAAAATAGATCTTCAAAAAAATTATTTATTTGAAAAATGTATAAAGTACTTTAAAAAAAGACTACAAAACAGAAATGAGCCAATCACACAAAACAGAATCTAAGTATCTTGTCTTTTGTTTTCTCATTTGCTGGAAATGTGATTGTTTTCATACAGAATAACTGTGATCTAGATGATGTTATAATCATTTTACGAGAGAATGAAGCAGAACAGCGCACGCACAGACACAGGCGGCATGGCCAGACTTGGTGAAGTGCAGAGGCAGGGCATGGCACGATGCCCACCAACAAGCTTGCCGCCTCTCATTCCTGTCCTCTTCACCACCTTTTCAATGGGGATTCAGCTGGGCATTTACTAAGGTGCTATCGCAAACACTGGCGAGTCTGCTAAGCCTTCTTCCAGAAACCCGAGGCAAACTGTTTGATGCCCCTATGGATGCCAGGTGCTGCGGACAGCGATTAAAACACCTTTAAATTTAAACCAGACCATGAGATGAAATACAAAGAGTGCACACACAACACTAGTTGTGTTGGAGTGTGAAAATACTTACAATAATACTGTGAGTATTAAAAGTAAAATTTCTATGAAATAAATAGAACAAAAGCAGTAATGGCTTCCAGTCACCTTACAAAGGACCCTTTGCTGGCATATGGACGTTAAAATCAGCTGAGCACTGAACACGATTTACCTTTTTAATTCACAGCGACAGACCACAACCACAATTTCCTTATGATGCGAGTAAAGATTCCCTTTTGCTTTACATTTGGTTTTATTTAGCTGGAAGTGAATAACTCCCATTCCACCGCTTTCAGGAAACTTTCCTCCATGCCTACTGCATTGCGGATGCCAATTAACGAATCAAAGGCATGCAGTAAGCAGACAAAGAGGGTTTGATATCAATGGCCATCCTCAGTCACTGGCACTCTTCCTACCACTCTCCTGGCACAACGCTAACAAAATGGCCGCCCTGGGTGCACTGGCATAATGTGAGGGCATTGTCTAGAGATGGGCACTGGATACTAAAGGCAAAACACTCCGCACTGCCACGGTAAGCCCTTAACAGAGAACCCAATATTCATTTGGTGACAGTACTTTCTTCCATACTCGTCTTTTTTTTTTTTTTTTTGATTATATAAAGGTCAGAAATATCTTTAGTGAATAACATTTATAACATGAGTCAGCCACTGCGATTATGCTACGCAGACATTAAAATATTTTGAAAATACAAAAAATTACTGTTAGAATTTATATACAAATTATTTCATATGTTATTTGTAAATAAGAGTGGAGACCAAGGTCAATTCAGAGAGGTATACGAGAGATTTAGGCTGCCGTGTGAGTGCCAACAGGCGAATGCACGCCATCTTACAAAGACACAAAAGAGAGTCTGATGCCAACCATGGTGCCAGTGGCAACCATTATTGTCCCTCCGCTCTGCCTTCTGCTTACCCTGGCACTTCAGTTTCACAAAATGGAGGTGCCATGCCTGACGTTAATGAAAACATTTACATACTCACAAAAGCAACACTTCTATAAAATTATTTTTGTCGTGTAGTGATTCTTATTCATAACCTGAATTGTTGCCCCCTGGAAAATATGGATAATGTCCAAATTTATACTTTTCAAACAGAAAACTTAAAACGGAAATAAAAGGAATAGTTTATGTTGTTTTCTAAGTCATTTTTGATCAAAGTACATGTTAAATGAATAAATGTGAAGGTGCATGTAAGTGTGCAGAGAAGTTTAGACCTTTTTCCTTAACTTTACTAAAAAAAAATGCACAAATAACTAAAAATAACTGAAAATTACCAGACCCTATCTAGTCATTAATAACAAATAAGGGGAGAAATTTTAAAAATACAAAATAGAATTCTAATAGAATAGTCCTGTGTAATTGTGCCATTTGCAAAAATTCTCATTATGTAACACATATTTTGCACGTATTTATATAATGATATAATGTGTATTTGTATGTCTTTATACTTTTTTTGATTTTCTGATGTAAATTTTGAATTGTATTCTGATACTGACCTCATCGTAAAAAAAAAAGTGCTGCTTGAGAATTCTGCTGAAATATCTGTATCTAGCTCATTTTTACAAATGCATGCGATTCCAGCGCAAGCAACACACTTTTGTCACTCATTCTCTTTTTTTGTATGCAACTAATCTGTAAAATGTAAAAACATTTTTTTACAAAAATACAAATCATTTTAATACTACTTAAATGTACCAAAATAGATCAGTTTGAAACTTTTTGCGTGTAAAACAAGAAATGAATGCCCTTACTCTTATATCCATAACAATTGGAAATTACATTCATTTTATACCTGCGAGTTAAAGTAGCACACTTAAATCAAGTCTAGAAATGTTATCTCCCAACCTTCCCTCACACTTACCTTGGTCCTGGACATAGTATGCCAGAAACAAGTCCAGCTCTTTCACAGAGACAGTGATGTGGTGGGGCTGGACGCAGAGTCCCGGGTTGGTGCAGTGCGGGGACTTGACCAGACGCTCCCCATCTGTGCTCTCCAGCGGAATACCTTTGAACAGGATGACCATCACCAGGTCCAGCCGCCACACTTTATCAGCCTGCCTCAGGCAGTCGATTCGGCGGATCTTGCCCTTCTGGTCGGGGTTGGAGAGAACACAGCACGGGTGCTTCTTGCCCGTTACGCTGAGCACAAAGTCCTCCCGGTACTCCTGCCGGATGTCCTTGCGCAGCTTGGCCAGGAGACGAGATGCCCACTTCTGCTTGATTTCAGGCTTCTCGCTGAGAAGCTCGTCTTTCACAGCCCGTTCCTCATCCTTGGACATCCGCTTTTCATGCTTCTTAAAGTACTTGCGCTTTCGTGCCTGCAGGTTGAACCAGGTGTAGGCTATGGCACGGACATGAGGGAGCAGCGCCTCGATGAAGGGATGAAACTCATCCTGAGAGAAGAGAGAGAGGGGAAAAGGAGACAAATTGAGCAGGAGCAGAAGTGACCTTTTGGCATGGGTTCTTGTCTGAATTAGCCAAGAGCCCGTGCAGCCAAAAAAAAAAAAAAAGGCGGTTTAGAAAATTTATAAGATGCAAGAGTAGATAAAGTTATACAAATGACTATTTAATGGTCCAGAAAAGCATTACATTACAAAGCATTACAGAGTTACAGTTACAAATATCAGTTGCAAATATAGTTTTCTAACAACTCTAGTCTTCGGTTTCCTGCTTTTAGAGAAGCACTAAAGTTGTTTAAAATGAGATTTTAAAGCATCAGCATGAAACATTCATCTACCATTTCCACTGTGACTGCAGGCAGCGTTGGCCTGCCTGCAGGTGTCGGAGGCACGCAGAAAAAGGATGCCACTGTTTACCGCGTCTGCCCGCGCCGTGCCAGTGAAGAGCCGACAGTTCCAGAATCACCAATCTCTCACTCCCCTTCTCTCTCTCTCTCTACCCCCCTTCTCTCGCTCGCTCGCTCTCCGTCTCCAGCAACGCTCAAAGCACCAGTCCGTGTGTTGGCACAAGAGAGCAAGCACCCCCCATACTTCCAGATCTCTTATCAAAGCGCCCTGCATTCCTGAAACAGCCCTTACCACAGAGACCCACAGAACCTCACGGAATCCTGGAAAACTCAAAAGATAGTCTCTAAATGCCTTGGACAAGGACAGCTGAGGGCATGATTATCAACCACACTTGCAAAGAAAGCAAGACAAATGGGGACATGTCTTGTCTAAAATGACAGTGTAAACCTTCCCAAGGCCAGAAGTACTAGGTAAGGCTTTTAACTAAACATGGAATAGTGAAGTAAAAACGGGGGGGGGGAATACATTTTACACCTTGAGCTTTTACTCTTGACTATGAGGAGGAGGGAATCACTTAATTTGTTAGCATTAATGTACCGCAATTATTCCAAGGCCCTCCAAAAATCAAATCTAGATGGACAATGAAAATGACATCTTGGCACAATAGCCACATTCTTTGGGCCTCAGAGCTGTTTGGTAAGGGTGGCATTAAAATGCCAAACCAAAACTAAAGCGCCCTGACTCCTCAAATAAGCGGCACGGCTAATTCACACTTGTCTTATTGAGCGCAAGGCTTTTTTTTTTTTTTTGTCTTCATATGCCTCAACTTGCTATGTAGCTTTACACTACAAACTTAAACTGAGTAAACTCAGTTGCCAATTTTACAGACCTCTGAGTGACATTTTTCCCCACGCATATAATCTCATCACCTCAGCAAGTGAAATTGATTCAATATTGTCAAGCAAATTCAATTATGTTTTAAAACATAAAATAGAACAGCAGGAGAATGTGTCACACTATACACTAAAAGACAAACACTACCACTATCTGAAGCTTCCCTTTATAATTTTTCAGTTCAACAAAATATAATTATAGTTCTTTTTTAGTCAAAAGATCAATAAGCACTGCAGATTCTTAGCAATGGATGAGGTTTATGAAAATAAAAAGTAAAAAGACAATGAAAGCAAGAGTGCGAGAATCTTAACACAATGAAAAAGACCATCTTATACACACACACACTGACTCTGCAAACTTCTACGCAATTTTTTTCACCGCCACATTGAAAAATGAACAAGGACTGCAGCGAAATGATCGGAGAAGAGTTAAACCACATATTGTTCTGTGTGCAGGCGGGCGGCAGCTCTTTAGGAAACCACAACCAGCGCACCACTGCTGCCTATATTTCTGTGACAGCCCCCCACACACAGCCCACACTCCAGCACTGTATAAATACCATACAAACTACACAACTTAGGAATGCGTGTGCAATCCTTCATCCGACAATGTTGCACTAGAAATATATAACTCACAAAAGAGTGTGAGTTTTCGCACTATGCGGTGTAGTCCTGGAATGTATAAAAACTTTGTATAAAAAACTCATAAAAAAAATCACATCAGATGATAGATGATTTAATAATTTTTAGATTATAGCTATAGCTTCATATATTTTTTCTTTAGTCACAACTACATGCAACCTATAATGTATAATGTCCACAACTCCACTCCACAAAGTATGCATTAATATCGAAATTACTATACTGATAGTATACAAAAAGGATTTCTATCAAATATTTTTTTTTTCTGCTATAAATTTAATGAACCTATTGACCACAAAGAAGGTGATTCTTGCCATAATGAATTTAAATATATGTCTAAGGCCTTGCAAGATCACACATTGTTGTATCCCTACAATATAAAATTAAAATAAATATAAATGTAATGTAAAAAAAAAACATGATTTTGATCTGTTGTCATAGCAGCTGTTATGCAAATTTATTTCATATCACAATGTTAAGGAATGTCCTTGAACCAAAAATAAAATCACACGAATTTCTATTTTTAATAGTTCAAAGTGTAGCACGAGGTTGTTGGCTGCGCAGGCTCGAGGTCCTCTTGTACTCACCATATCTCAGTCAATCACTCTCTGATGCCAAGGAAAATATAAACAGTAAAATTGTGTCAGCCAAAGCCGGCGGACTCTGTCCAACCGCTGAATCAACCTTATCATTGTTTTCATCTTAATTCACTCTGTGAGAGAAGCTCCAAGTACAAACTAAAGCAAGTTTCTTTAAAGAAAGGTGAGGATAAAACGGTGAGCTCTCAAAAAGGGAACTCAAAGTCACTGCCTCGCGCTTGAAACAGCAAAGAGATGAAGATGAACTTCTCCCTGTTGTTAACCTCATAAATGTTGCCTTGTTTAATCAGATTTTAAAGCAAAATACATTTACAGACGCCATAAAATTAGATTTAAGTAAACACTGATCTGTTCATTGATTAGGAATACACATCTTCGCCCATGTGATTGAGTAGGCTACATTCTATCACATAGGCTATATCTATACATCGAGTTAGATGTCCGTCGGATTTTTAGAAGTCCGAACTCCTTAAAAAACGCTTTAAAATTAAAATCGAAAAGGTTTAAAGGCTTTTTTAAAAAAAAGGTTATTCAATGTATCTTCAAAGAAACAACTTATTAAGAACCATTAGGCTATATCTCTCTACACAGTCCTTGAGTTGGTCATATTTCTTTGAACATTAAAAAAGTTACTAGCCATATATGGTTTGTCAGAATAAGGTATTTGGTTTTGGGTACCTTAAAGTAGCCTACCAGTACATAGATGGTTTTCTAAAGAACTAGAGAATAAAAGGTTATTTGATGAATTTAAAAACGACTTCGTCCTTCTAATTTGAATATTTATTTTCTTGAGTGATTTTAAAGGTTGCAGTTAAGTTTAAATGAACCGATTTTCTCACGTGCCTTTTGTAAGACACGACGTCGAAGAAGTTGTTCAAATACGATATTGAACTTTAAAAAGACAAGAGGGAAGTGTAGGCTACAATAAATGCGTAATAGCATAACTGCAGCAATTTTTAAATGAACCAAAGCACATGCAGTGAATAATGTACACAAACAAGTAAAGAATTGCCAAGCCTACTCAGTGATAATTCAAACAAATATAAAATATACCTGTGTGAGACAAATCGGCGAATACATCGTAGATCGCGCGGTTATCAAAGTCCTGAAGGGTATCAGATGATTGATATTATCGCTTCATTCTTCAGAGCCCGTGCTGCTCCGTGCACGTTTGAGTAAGACCTGATATCCTCATTCAAAAAAACACGCTCTTATCCGGCAACAGAGAACAACTGGAGATTCCACACTTTGCATTTAACCGATCCCGGCGTCTATTTAAGAGCACAAAAGATTGTAAACGGAGTGAATCTAGACGCATCCACAGCGCGTGAGGTGAACCCACCGCTGAGTATAAAGCTAAGGAATCTGAGAGTCGAGTTTCAAATAGGAATCTTGAATAATATAGCCTATCGCACGTGCAATAAGAAAACTTGAAGGCGCCTAATTTCTGATCATGTGTTTGCTTTTCAAACTTGATATAATATGGGCCGGTAACACCCTCTAGTCTGCTGGAGCCTAACAAATCAGTCTGAAGATTTTTTTTTTCGCCTTTAATTACACAGTCATACTCCTCCTCTTCCAGCAAGCGCATATCCCATATATCCAGCCCACCTCGAATGCACCTCCGTGACATTGACAAAGATTTAAGCAATTTCCTACTTTTTATCCAAATGTCATTTTTTTGTGGTGAGGACTTTGGGAAGGCATGTAAAACTATGAAACACGATGAAGCGAGCCCAATATAGCCTAGTAAAGATTTTTGCTGATTTCTTCTATCGCAAATGAAAACAATTCATGACTTTGATTGATACAGGCGTCGTCTTAATAAAAACCAAAATATGATGCTTATGATCAAATCATATCAGGGGATATAAAGAAATTTTGACTAGCCTACTTTGTCTAGACTTTCGTTGGTTAAGTTTACTTTCACTATCAGCTATTACAAACCAATACTGAGATATGGCATTAGCCTATTTATAAAACATAAAGGCTTTAGTGTTATATCATATGCTTGGAAAAGCACGATTTATTAGCTAATGACGCAAATGTAAGTGTGGGCCTGCAGCGTTTATTATGCAAAATAACTCCAAACTGAATAAATTAATTCGTTTATTTCTGTGCTTTTTAAAAGAGCAGTCACCAACATGACAACGGTTTAAATTTTGCGAGAAAAGAGAGAAATCAACAGCAGTATGCTACTGCATACGGTTCTATCACGTATCCCAGTGAGAGAAGAGCACAGGGCCAGTCTGTTGGACAGATAGCCTAATGATTCCCTTCGCGTTACATCGGCATGACGGCATCTTGTGTCGAAGTCAAAGCCCACCCCCTCCGTCCAACTCATACGTCCACAAGGCTCAACAAAGACTTTATGAAGGACACCGAGTCCATTAGCCTACTAAGATGCAACTACAATAGACCGCAACAAAAGCGCAACGCAACAAAGTCCAATGTTCATGGTAAAACAATGAATCGATGTATCGAAAAAACATCTACGTGTGCATAATGTTTTAAAGTATCAAATAACAAAGTTACAGAGTGAAAGAGTATCAATGCAAGTCTCGCTACGTAAAACAGCCCCAGACAAGCATTTAAATGACAGTGAGAGTAAATATCAACACGGCTTGTCCAGGTATTCACGCCGCTGCTCCGTGCCAGAAGCGCACGGCTATTCAATAGGGGAGAGTTTGAGCTAACACAGGATGCATGCCAAGAGGCACAAACTCGACTTCTGACACAATATGACCCATATAGGACGTCTGCCAATGCATGACATAAACAATCCAACATTACGATAATTTTTTCTGCAGTTTTAAAGTGTCTTGTTCAGTTCAATATTGAAACGTAAAGCTATTGCTCTGTTGAGGTTACATTCGCGCAACACAGCAACTCGAGACAAATATTCACAAATGTTAGTAAGACAGTGTTTTCCATCATAACGTACCATTGCACTGTATTGCATGGAATTGAAGGGGGTTCCTGGAGGCCGGATGAAATTGAAGCCGGTACGCTCACATGTCTCAAGTTCAAAAATTTGTGTTTTTTTTATTTTTTTTCTCTTTTCGTTTCACGTTGTACTGCTTACAAAAATTAACACCGGAAGCGAATTCTTGGCAGACAGGCGGCAAAATCAAGTCAGCGAGCACCTCAGATATTTTTTTTATCTTCCTTCCTCTGCAAGTCAGTCTTTTGGATAGCTTTTGGTGGTTGAGTTGAACGCGGTCCAGAATAGGCTGAGTTATTTGGAAGTGGGTAGGTCTGCGCCTTCACTTTCTCTGTCTGTCGTCGCTGTTGCTCGCTGGCAGCAGCCAAACGTAGCTGCGCATTTGGAATTACATCCTCGTTTCTGATTGGCTGGCGCACCGGTGGAGCTCCGCTCGCCGTTCCATGCCCTAGGCCCCTCACTTCCGCTCGGCAGACAGTGTCACTATTTGCATATTAACATTGGACAAGTCCAATCAAAGCGAGACCGAGCGCAATTTAGACTAGTGGCTGAAGATAGGTCAAATTCCTCTGTGCATTTTGGCCTTGGGGATTAAGAATATTTCCTTTTGTACAGGCATGAAAGCAAATAAATCCCTACTAAATTAGCTATTTTTTTAAAGAAATTAGGCCTATATTTTAATTAAATTAATAATAACGATTTTCATACCTATTCCCCTGCATACAGTGTTTGCTCGATTTTGACATAATCTTAAACCACATTGTTTAGCATTGTTAAACTTTAATGACTTAACAATCTTTAAATCGGTAGAAATATATACTGTCTATAGGCTGTATTACTAAACCATTATTAAGATTTTGAATGATATAGCAGAGAAAGTCACCACTGTTAGAGAGCACAATGATGGCATTGATCCAGACCAGAACACCAGAGCGCCCCGCGCGCGCGCGCGCGCACTCACACACACACACACACACACACGACTCCAACAACATGGATGAAACACGTATTAATTTGAGCGCGTTTACCGGTGCCATTAAATGAGACACAATCAAAAGATAGTAGTAATAAAACGGTTTATGATTAGCCTATTCACGTCACCTGTAAATAAAAAAGTGTAGGCTATTCATATAACAGACAGCAATGAATCCGAATGAATAGCAATTCTGTCTATTTATTTTTCTTTCTATATATGACATAGCATGTCTATACAAGACATGTCTATGCAAGACATGCTATTCAGTGGTGATCTCAACAAAATAATTTGGTCTTTCATTTAGGTCGTTAAAAATTTGTACATTTAAGTCTATCGAGCTAAGCAGAAATACGCCTCACTTATAGGCTACATTAAGCGCTGCATGTAGTCTAATATGACAAATAAATTGTTTAATCGTTCGTAATTTTGTTAATAACATTTTTACCTGTTGTTTCTATAATTTCTACAGAATAAATTCCATTAGGCTATCATACATTCTATATTTATCTTTTCGATAGACAAACCTACAGTTTTCGTTTTATAGCCTGGATTGTCATCTTTGCTCTGCACGACATAAGTTGTCACGTAGAAAAGTTCGTTTTGGTTGTGACTGCACTCGTGGCTAACTAAATGTATCTGTCAAGATAAACGACTTATATAGAATGAATCGTTTATTCTATGCGCTGTCACACTTGTAAAGACAAACAAACAAGCCCTGTGTTTGAAACAACAAACACAAGGGCTTGTTGGAGCATTATATCGAGTAGGTGGAGTGTGATACGAAACGAAGCGAAAGGGCTCCAAATTCTTAGACGTAAACTTTGGCAATTTCAGTGGCGAGTGGAGGACAGGGAATCATTATTAACATGTAGAAATATCGGTGTCCTGAAGATTTTAGAGATCTGTTCACTTTTGCCTGTCAAGTTTCATGAGTTTGGATAGCCTGTGCCGTGTGCGCGCAGCGAGCCTCGATACTGCCTCCGTAAGTTCACTACATTTCATGTAGGCTACAGATAGGCTATTCTATTCTCTCGACTCTAGACGCTCAAAGCCAAACTTTTCTAGTCATTAATTATCGATTTACTTAGGCTACGTTGTGTATAGCTGGCGCATCAGGGTTGCTGTAACAAGGCGATATTTCGTTTCTAATGTCTCCAGAAAATATCAAAAAGATTCCGTTCCTTTCGATTAAAAACGTGTTTTCATGTTTTCACGGGTTAGGAAAGTTATATATTGCTTTTCAGTAGTAGGCATTCAAGTCCTACGAGTGAATATTATTTGGTTATTACTTATGCTACATCGATTATATTTCTTGTTTTAAAAATATCGTTGCTTTAACGTGCAAATAGATTTTTAAAACTGGTAAACGGTTAAGTGGCGAAATGTATGCATTTAATGCAAAACGATGACCTGCTGCTTTTGAATAAACGGCACCACCCTTTTTTAAGTCGACCATATCTACCGGGTAGCAAAGAGACACACGACCGTCTAATAACGGCTTGAAGATGACCCATATGATTCCATGATCCCATATGTCCGCTTTTTTACTTCATAGTTGCAAGATATGTTGCAAAGGTAATTTTTTTATTGTAAGGTAACTATAGCCTAATAGCCCATATGATTTCCATTTTAGCATTTCACTCCGAGACAAAGCCTATAAGAGCTTCTTTCCCATGAATTAGCAGGTTTTCTAAATGTATAATAATATTAATGAATGACACATTTATTCTAGTACTTCGATTTGTTTTGAGCCAGAATTTAAATTGTCTATGTTAATCAATAATTAATTTTTTTAAAAATTATTTTTTATATCAATGATATTTTCAGTAAAGGCACATGGTAGTCTGGTAGGGCAGGTAGTGTTTCTCTTTTTATAAGAATGAAAAACACAATGCACATTTATTTATTGATTTATTATTATTATTATTATTAGCCTATTTATTTTTTTAATAGCCTACCTCTAACCAAGGATAAAGTGTCATGATGGGTTTGGATGTTGGTTTTGTGTTAAAGAATTACACCTGGGTTTCACTGAGCAATTAAAAACTGCTCTAATTTGTATTTATAAAACTATATTATGTTTTCCATTATTTTATCAATTTTGTGATATACTTCTCAAGTCAGATTCACAGGAGTAGGCCTAGCCTATAGGCTTATGAACATGAAATTAGGCTAACTAATTTTCATATTTGCTCAGGCTCCTCTCCAGGTGAATAATGTAACTTTAATTTTAACAAGATTATTGTGTGGAATGAGAAATATGTGTGAGAAAAAAAAACTTATTTTGAGAACAATTGATGACCATTCAAATTCAGGATATAATTTCATTTAATATTTTACATGTATCGACCAAGCTCTCTGCAGTGCTAAATTCAACATCATCATTTTTGGCTCGGTGCAAAATTGCAAACCAGGTAAAGCGTTTGTCGAATATTCTGCTATTGGTAGCCTATTTACTGTCTTCTTTTAGTGTCTTTGCTTTTAAGTGGACAGATAGCCTATAAATAGGATTATAATTAGCCTATGTCGGAACGCTTAAATTCATATTGCGCCACAACGCCATATTTGTATCAGCGGGCCTAGATTGCAAGCGGGGTGATGTGAAACAAATTATTGTAGGCTATTAGATGAACACTTTCTCAAGACGCATTTTCATAATGTACAAAATAACGTCTGTAGACTGAATCCTCCTCGAACATAAGA